TTCAAATGTGGATTCCAAGTCGTCTTCGTTGATAATCTTTTTAAACATTTGCTTTATGAGACCCTTATTCAAAACGGTTAATTGTGCATTCAAATGTTTACGCAGGCCACCCAGTGAACCATCTTCCGTCATAACGGTGTTTCGTGACTATTGTAGATTTCGATGGATATTACTAGGGTTCAAACTATGTTAAATAAACTAAGATACAATTTCAGTCAGTTAGGATTTAGCAGTGATAGCTTGTGTAAGAATGATCAGGACTGTCTCTTGGTAAGAGCCTTAATATCCTCGAATACACAGGACGTACCTCTAGCTGTTCTTTATTGAATAATTTTCACTAGAAGTACTAAGTGTTCATGACCACATCCGTAAGTTGTAGACAGACATAAGAACGTAACTCACGTTAGTAAATTAGCTATTATAAATAAAGTCCCATCTGAAGAAACGATAAAAAAATAAAAAGACTTGCTGGAGTTTGGAGATTGACGGGAGGACCAAAATTTGTTAGTAGTTCATAGATTATAAAATGAATCAGTTTATAGTGTCCTACATCTACTAATATCTCAAATATGTCCAAGTAGTCCAATACTCAGGCCATTGGAGCCATCAAAGTTAATTCAGAACACTTCGGAAATATTGGAAAAAGAACTTGTATTAAATTACTTAAATATATATACAAACAAATTTGTTGTCTCATTATCTTGATACTTTAGACTGACCGGAGGCCGTATCACTAGTTTACTACACTATTGATCACAATAAAGTATTCCTAACAAATTTTCTCGTTTGGAATGTGCAAGTTACTTGTTAACTCACACCAGAAATAAACAAGCTAAATAAATAGATGTTCAAGAATGATGGCCGATGTAGTGGAAACGCAACTTAAGAAGTTGACGGGCAAATTGGTCGATTGATTCGTTATGTTTGGAAAATTAGACAAGCTATCTTTGATTTTGATGGTAGTCAATGCACACCTATGCCTCATTGATTTCTTGGATATGGAACTTATGTGAAAGGTAGAATGTGAAAGGTAGATGTCCGCATCCAGAAAGAACTAGTCAATAATAAACATGCCAATTACCCAAACTAATTCAGGGACTGTTATTGACGAAGTGATCTTTATCTTCACGTCATAAGCGTATGTACCACAATGAGGAACTAGCCAACATACTAATGTAATATTCTTACATGAACAAAGTTATGGATAAATTATGACGCTAATGGCATTTGCATAATTCCGTATATTACAACAGACATAAAAACATACAAAAGTTTAAAAAAGTGGGACTTGTTCGGTAGCACATTAGACATTATGATGGATCATGCCAGCACAGCGCGTGTAAAGATAGAATGACTAAGGATATAGATATACTATAGTATACATGTGTGGATACGATATTCTGAAAAGATAACTACAAGTATTATTACAGTAGGCTCTTGGTAGGCCCTACGTAGGCCCTACGTAGGCCCTACGTATCATTTCCGGTTCGGTACTTGTTTATAAAAGTGGTATTGAGTTGGTCAAATGCTGATATTTCATCACTTTGAGCTAATTTTAAAAACGTTATGTTGTTTGAAAAATCAGAGGCGGAAACGTACCAAGAAAACGCAACAGAAAACGATACTAAATAAAAAAGAGTTGCATTTTTAACAGTTTTGAAATATCAAAAGCAGCTCGCTTTTGCCTGCGCCTACCGACATAATTAAAAAATCATCCGATTGTAGTACTGGAATAAGCTGAGGACCTCTGCCCTCCCGTTGGTAGGCCAGGACTGTTTAGACACACTAAAGGACAGGACATTGGACCGTTGAGGACTTTAGGAAATGGTATTTATGCCTTGTCCCCATTTAGTAGGACCGAGCTGCGTTGGCACGACTTTACGAATTCCCCAGCGTTCCGGAAGAGGGCACCGAACAACGGTGAGACACAGTATGTAGCATCTAGATATGCGTCGCAAATGGATTTAGAAATTCAACGAGCGCTTGACCAAACTGCACAAGTTATGGATGTTGAACGTTTTTTAATGTCCCGTTACGGGCCGTCGCGGTATTTGTTTCGGAAGAGCACGATGTTTGATTTGATTACAGTGGCAGCCACCATGAAGGAGGATAATCAAAAGGCTAATAAGCGTAAGAATCAGATTTTGCGTGAGGGTGCTATGACTTCTATTAAGGCGGTGATATATACATTGTATGATGAATTGAGGGGTTTTACTGAGTCTGTGCGGTCACCAGTGCTAGGAAATGGTAGGTTGCGGGGTGCGTGTTTGGTTATTGAGTTGCCCCAACAGGAACCAGTCACCCAGCAACAGAGTTCAGTACGCCAGAGTGAGGCACCGGGAGGAGTTCATTTTTCTCAATCAGCAGGATCAACTCAGCCACAACAGGGTGCACAGCATAAGGCACTGAGTGGATCGCGGGGTGCACAGCAGAGGGCACACAGCGATCGAGATGAAGTTGATCGAGGGCGATAAGTTAGACGTTCTCGCTCACCAGTGCGGCCTAGATGGTAAATGGTAAGTTGCGTGCGTGTTTAGTTATTGAGTTGCCTCAACAGGAACCAGTAGCCCAGCAACAGAGTTCAGTTCGCCAGAGGGAGACACCGGGAGGAGTTCATTTTTCTCAATCAGCAGGATCAACTCAGCCACAACAGGATGCACATCATGAGGCACTGAATGGATCGCAGGGTGCACAGCAGAGGGCACACAGCGATCGAGATGGAGTTGATCGAGGGCGATAAGTTAGACGTTCTCGCTCACCAGTGCGGCCTAGATTGTTGACGGATGATCAGGCTCACAAGTGGTATCAGTTTGTGGATCATCAATGTCAGGAGAACCCACCATTGGGGGAACCTTTCTATTATAGTTCGATGAATAGGAGATGGTATGTATCGGATCGTGGGAGTGATTGGGTACATCCTGATTTTGTTTGGAGAACGGATACGAAACGATGGGAAGTGTTGGAGGAGTTTGATCGATATTGTTGGTCTCAGTATTTAGAGTGCTATATTATCCAGTATATCTGGTGCCAGAGGCATGGCAGCGGAAACAGAGTAGTCGGCGGATTGGCGATCATCCTTACAACAACCGAATCGGGAGGTACGGCCAGATTGTGGTTTTGGTAGTCTAGCTCCAGTAATAGGTGAGCCACTCATACAACAGGATCAGATAGTATTGCAGCAATTAGTGGGGAAACCGGGGGCGACACAATATTCTTGGGTAGATATGTGCGCTGATATCCGAAGTGATGCGGATCGCCACCGAGCGGTAATCCATATGATGTTGTTGGGAGTGTTAACGGACCCCGCGGTTCGGGATCCTCTATTGTACGTGTATAATCAGGATGCGGTTTTGTTAGCGGCCAGGCTTCAGGAACTTCATGATTGTATGCGGACTTTTACTACCACTGCCTATACGGGATTAGTGGGGGAGTTGTTATTGGATGTCCTTGATAAGAATGGGTTGTCTTCGGCAGCTGCAACATATACGACGATGTTAGCGGCAAACCCAGGACCTGAGACTCTATACGTACCACGGGAAGGGATTCTCGTACAGGAGGAAACTCTGACATACAGGGAGGGAACTTCTTTAAAGAAGGGAACTCGGATTACTCAAGAAGAAACTCTCACCATCCTATAATGGGTTCGGCAGGATACCAGAATGGTCGTAATGACCGATACACTACACCGCCACGTGGTGACACACGTGGTTATGACCGTTCACGTGGTCGATCTTGTACACCAAATAGGGCATATCGCCCGTTGGATGAAAAGACTCCATCTCCAGCGCCTCAAGCATGTGGTAAGTGTTCTTTACGACACCGCAATGTGTCTTGCCCGGTTTGCGGGTTATGCAATAAGACTGGCCACTGGCGGACAGATAGCCCGATCAAAGTCATTACGGTTGCTGTCGCTCAAACCAAGTCTGAGTGACTCGCCGATGATGGTTGGAGTGGGCCTCTCACATATGCGCTTTGCGAAGACATATCGGTAAGTTTCTATATCTATAATGATAGCTGCTGAGTTTGTTCGACATAATAATTTTGTGATAACGGATATAGACCCTGTGTTTATTACGGGTTACGGAGGCGATGGCCGTATGTCGAAACAAGTGGTTGCTACTCTTCTGTTAGAAGTAGTTGATGCACATGGCGGTGGTACATATCATGAGACGGAACAGAATCCTTTTCTGTTCTGTTAGCCCCGTGGATTGCACATGACTGTATTATTTTGGTTGGTTTAGATGTTTTGGAGAGTGAACGTTTGGATGTCACGTGGGATACCTTGACGACACCTGCTACATTTCGGTTACAGCTTCCACGTGTGTCTGCAGTTAATTTCCTACAATATCGGCCCCCAGAGGTTGTGTATAAGTTGGAATCGTTGCGACGTAATAAGCATGTGCCTGATATAAATGATGACTTAGATGAGTATGATTTCACTGGATTGGAGTATCATGCTCGAATCTGTAATTTTACGAGTGCTCAGTTGCAGGAATTGAAGGATAAGTAGAAATCACGCAAGTTTATTAAAGGGGTTGAGTGTGAGATAATGCTCAAACCCGACGATATGCCGCAGCGCCGGGTACATGGGACGCAGGTGAAGGCGGGGGTGGAGACCCAAAAATGTGATGACCTTCATAGGGTAGGGCTCATTTAGCCGGAAAATAAGTACAGCAAATGGGTTGCTTCGTGTATTCTGGCTCGGAAGAATCCACGAGTGGTGCCCCAAGACGACAAGGGATATCGCTTGTGTATTGACTGGAGTCCGCAGAATACGGAATTCTATGTGTTGCCGGTGACGAATGCTTTAGAGGTGGAACACTTGAATCATGCAAGAAGGGCGGTTATTCAGACGGTGGTAAACTTAGCAGCGGCTTACCACCAAATCCGGCTTTCGGAAGATTCCCGGGAACTTTTGACTTTTTGTTCGGGATGGACGGTGCTGGCAGCCGGTATGTCTCATGGAAGGTGTTTAAAGTGGTTGCTATGATATGCAACATTTAACTCAGTCTCCGTTTCAGTCAGTACAATCGTTGATGCCGTAAATGGATGATAGCGCATAAATCGTATATAGAGACGCTGCGAAATCATTGGTGGGAGCAACACAAGAAATCATTTGTGAAGTTAATGATGCCCAATTGCAACCCCACTAGAGTCAAATATCAGTTTTGCTATCTGAAGTGATGTATGTGATTGGCCGTGATGTGTGGGAACATGGTAGTATGATTGATAATGAGCGTCTACACGCGTTTCTAACAGCGCCTGTACCAGTTATTGGCTATGATAGCATGGTGGTCGGGGATGATACCAAACTATTCTATCGTGGAAGAACCGGTCATCCGGTTGACACGGAAGAATGAGGTTTTCAAGTGGGGCAAAGATCAACAAGTGGCAATGAATACAGTATATTTGTATTTGAAAATGCGAATTCGGTTATATGTTCCTACTCAAGATCAGGGATTAGTTTTGTGTAGAGATGCGGCTGAATTGGCTTGTAGAGCATGTTTGTTTGTGCGTATACCAGGAGGCCTCACTAAGCATGTAGTGTAAGAGCTTTCGGATGCGGAGGTTCAGAGGTTGGGTTTACAGGACATGACTCTGGAGCAGCTCGATGAGCCGGATATTATAAACGGCGTTGAGAACATGCAGCTTCAAAATTCGACTACGGAGTTAGCGCCGGTTGTGTCGAATTTGGAAACGGGGGCTCCGGCAATAAGGTACCAGCCTGCTGAGACGGGATAATTTTCTCGGATTGAAGAGCTGGTTCAAATTCGACGCCGGGATGAGTCCCAAAGATTTGCTGTCATCAAACAGTTGGTATTAGATAAGGTTATTTCTGTCCATAATCATAACTTTTATTTCCAGTCATTTTGATGTTCAGTACATTCAATGCGGCTCAGCGGAACTATGGTACCACGGGGTATGAATTTGTGGGATATGTGTATGCCACTAAAAAGGCGTTGCATATATTACATAGATCCAGCTTACCATGTGTCCTGTATACTGATCATGAGCCGTTGTTAGGCATTGTCCGGAACCCGTCAAAGTACACACAGGAGGACACCATTCAGACTAGGCGTTGGCTTAGAGCGTGCAATGTCTTACAGAAAGTCGAGTATGATTTTCGATATATCCCTGGGAAGATTAATTATTTCGGGGATTACATGTCCCGCTGTGCGGACAAGATGGATGATCTGATGACGCCACTTGAGCGCCGTGTTCGTGGGCTGACCCGGTCGGAGAAGCAGGTGTAGTAGCTTTCTGTGGTGCTACGTTACAGTTTTATCCGTCGGACTGGCAACTTAATCCGAAATGGATATACCATTCGCAGGTTTTGTTTCGTGTGGTGCTCCAGGTTGAACTTTTTGCATCACTTGCCAATCATGTTCTAAATACTTATGCATAATTTAGAACCAGGTCGCGGTACGATGGACTGTGAACCGTTTGCTGTGGATTGAATGGGTATTGCTTGCTAAGCGAACCCTTCTTGGCGCCTTATTGCGCGATTTGTGCGTCATGTGGCTATGTCAGAAGATTCAGAAGTTGTGTTGTGTGTCCCATTTTGGCCAAATGAACCGTGGATGCGGGATTTGGTACCGATGTTGCAAGCGAGGCCATTTGTGATTCCACATGCAGAGGATACGTTCTTACTGAATGGACAATATGCAGTAGGAGTACCCCCTTGAGATTATACATTATCAGTTTATATCAAGGGAGGCCACCAGGATTTTCGGTATGTCATTCCTCCCAATTTCTGGCCGGAGGTGGGACGCACTGGGCCGCCTGCCAGCATGTGTATGCTGGATTACCACCCAGTGGTTTCTTGTTTTGCGACTGTAGCAGCAGTTACAAGTGGACAACTTGAAAATGAAGCCCGCGAACAGGAAGCGCTTGTGGAGGCAACAAACGAGCGTATGGAGCCCATGAGTAAGTGCCAGAGGTGAATGATGGCGTGAGTCGCCAATGGAAATGGCGGTCGGCAAAACGGAACCCTAGCCCTGTGACTCGGGAGTGGCGCTGGAAGACGCAAAAGCGAAGTCTGAGTCCGTCATCTAGTGTGAAGGATATGGACTTAGCTGGTTTTCAGGATGACGGGTCTGATTCGGTTCCGGCTCCATCTGAAAGTAGAGTGAGTCCTGCGTCTGTTAGTGAGTTTCCTGTTCTCGGCCGAGTGCGTATCCCTTCGATGACTCTGCAGATTTCGAGGCGGAGAATATTACGAGTGATTTCCCTGCACCTAGTGTCTCTCCTGTGGACATTAGTTTGGAACAATTGTTGTTGCCCTCTTGTTTCGACAAGGAGGGCTTGTTGGCTATGGATAACCCGGCAGATTCCACCAGGATTGAAAAGGACACTATTTCAGAGGCGTCGTTGGCCCTTGAAACATATTCGGAGGAATTGTTGGAGGGGTGTGCTGAGTTGTATCCAAGTCACCACGATTTCCAGGAGGTCCCGTTGGGTACAGGTGCATTGGTCTACCAGGCTGGCCTTGAGGTTGAGGCTCAGGTGGATTCGGCCGACATAGGGTCGCGAGACCAACAGCACTCTCCGGTACTGCCTCATCAGGTAAGTTATTCGATTAGCCACCATCCATTGACGGATAACCCACTGTCTTCTCGTGAACCAAGTAGCAAGCGGATGGATGTGATCCCGGATGAGATAATTCTAGTTTGTCAGGATCTGGAGGAGGTTTACCGCCGGTTAACTCGACTTCGGTTGATGTCGGCAGATAAAGTGGTGTCTTCTCCGGTGATCTTACAGTTAGAGTTACAGTCATAAGTCGGTGTGCTGCTTCAGAACAAATGCACTTGAAATGTCCCTCGTCCTGTGTTGGACATGATTATTAGTAGTTGTGAGCGCTGTATCCGTTTTAGTATGGGTTATGATCGTAAACGGTGTCTTTTCCCAGCAGCCGGATCGGGCTACGCGGATTGGGGAACAGATGAATCTTGATGATTTGGTTTTCACGGAGGACACGGAAGGATATAAGTATGTGCTAGCCGCACAAGATGGTTATTCCTTACGTGCATTTACCACGTGTATTAAGAGCAGTGATCATGTGGCGGACACTCTTATGCAATTTTGTGAAGAACAGCTTCGCCCACATGCAGCTGTAACTGAGTATGTAATGGATAAGGATAGTGTGTTTCGTAGTGAGGGATTTAATGCGTATGCACAGCGTACAGGAGCCCGACAGCATTCTAGTGCTATGTTAATGCAGTCTAGTGGCCGTAATCTATAGCTTTTACTACAATAGCGTTGTAAGAAGTTCTTAAATAGTCCAAATGATGGTTCTACTGGGTTTAAATAGGGACTATAAAGTGGTAAAAAGAGAACATATGAACCTGCTGACTCTATCAAAGCCACCACATCCGCGCGGCAAATTGCTGCGTTGTACATAATGACTATACTGCGAGGCACAGGCCATGGGTTCAAGAGTGGTAATATGTAGTTTCTAAAGTGGTCGTAAAATGTCGTACTGTCATATGTTCCACAGGTCATTCCCCAACCAATGAACCCCGACAAATCACTAGCTGTCAGTACGCTCACTCGATGCCCTCGCTTAATCGGTGTCCTAGGTTTCTCTCCCCCTTTTCCATAGCCACGCTTACGGAAGGTAGACCGAGCGTCTCTGGACGCTTTGTCAACGAATACAAGCTGGGTTTGCCACGAGTATATGTGAGTATGGACTGTAAAGTACTCTAGCTATGTTTTAAATGAAGCAAACCTTGCAGCCTTTTCCATGATCCGCCGTGTGTATTTGATATCAAATTTTAAAACTCGTAGTACCGTGGTGTATGATATTTTCCTTCCATCTTCACTTAGAACACACTTTTGCAATTCATCTAGATATATTGATGGATTACGCTTATATATGCGCTTAATGCACGAGATCGGTTTCCGGTCTCTTAAGAGATCATCCCGCCTTGTGCAGGCAGCTTTAACTGGAAACCCGTAAGCTTCCAACAAGTTAGAATACGGCGAATCGTACTTTCACTGGCATTGAATAGTTTATTAATATCAGATATAGATAGGCGATAATAATACCATGCGCTCACAATGAGCCATGCCACTTCTTCTACTACAGTCATTGTGTGCTTGTGTGTGCTTGTGTGTGTGTGCTTGTGTGTGTGTGAACCGGTTTCAAAATAAATAAATAAATATATCTTGATTGTCTGACACTATTCCTTATTAGGGTCAGTCCTGGCGCCGAATTTGAGTGAAATTTCACTGAAATTTCACTCTAATTTCACACAAAAAAATGAATTTTATTTCATTTTCACACGCAGTGAAATGTTTTGAAATAAAATGGAATTTCACGAACTTCTTTTTCAAGTTGCGATTTCAGGACAAACCTAGTTTTTCCTACATCAAGTTCTTAAAACCGTAACTTGGTTTTGTTTACCCTAGCACGATGTCCTGAATCGCCTCATGTGCAGCATAATAATCAGTTCACTATAATTAGGGGTTTCTTTAATAATAAATAAACTTGGTAACTTATATCTTTTGAAATAAACACTATTATCCCTAAGAAACATCGGATTAAGATCTCACTATAGGTTATGGACCTTTTTATTGACATATATTTTTCCTCACTAACAAGATAATTTCTAGCTCACCCAAACTTCCATCTATCTCCTGGTCCATTTTGGATGAGGATGGCACTAACATCGACCATTGGCTAGCAGATTTAGATATGGCTGCCACTGCGCATATTCTCCATCGTCGACTCACTTGGCCCAAGCTTCAAACGGGAATTTACTGACCACTTCTTCCCATCAATCTTTTCCGAACCACTTCAACGGCTTTGAGAGCCATACCATATGTACATGCATTGTAACTTATCTTTTTTGAAATTATCTCCCATTTTTGCATACGATCCTACTACTGAAACCGTCAATGATTCCTACGCCGGGGTCCAAATGACTCTTAAAAAAAACTGTACCCCGGCGCAGGCGCACTTTATGAAAGAAGAAGATTATATTACTAACGTCAAAGAGCCAACTTACTGCTTGCTACAATTTGTGTCGCCCTCCGTCTCAGATTGGCCCCGATCATCCGGTCTACCCATTCATGGACATTTCTCGCCCATGTAG